AACACACATACACACACACACGCACACCCACACGCACACACACCACACACACACACACAAACACAAACACACACATACACACCTTGGCCCCTATAAGAGGTGGTGAACCTCCATGTAAGAACTAGTGGAAGAGTGACAGTCTTTAAACAGCTTGACTCTTTTTATTTCTTATGAGCATAACACAAGTAAATGAAGACATAATACACAAGACTGGAAAAGTACTTGAGCAGTGGAGAGGCCGGCCAGCCCTGGGGAGGCCTGAGTTAGAGGGGTCTTAACCCAGTAACAGCAACTAGTGAACTCTCTCTGCCTGGGTCACACCAATGAATGCCTTCTTAAATGGCCAGTGGTGACCTATGCATATAGAAGCAGATGACCTGGCTAATTTTAAAAACATACGGACATCATGGAAGCCATGTGGCTTGGTCTGGACTTACATGTATGCCATATTGCTTGGCAAATAGTGCTTGAGCAGTGGCATGGCCAGCCAGCCCTGGGGAGATCCAAGCTGGAAGGATCTTACCCCAGTAACAGTGGCTAGCTCTCTGCTAGCTCTGCCTGGGTCATGCCAAAATGTGACCTACGCTGGTGGAAGCATATATCCTGGGTAATTTTAAAAGCACATGGACATGATGGAAGCCTCGTGGCTTGGTCTGTGAGTTAAATGGATTATACACATACCATAGTTCCCCCCCTCCCCATCGTGCTCTCCACTCCTGCAACAAGCTGGTCCAAATCAAGGACCTTATGGATCACTACAAGAACGGCCGAATCCCAATGATTGTCAAGCCAATTAATTAACATTAATGCTATATTTGAATTATTGTTATTGCTTAAACTGTCTCAGTAATGTTTGCCTCACCTACTGTACTTCCATTCTTCTTCTGTTTATTTTCAGCCTCTGGCTGCATCTCCTCTCAGTATACCATAAATTATCATTATTGTTATTATTACTATCATCATTATTATAACACACACATACACACACACACACACACACACATGCACAAGCATACACGCACCCACACAAATGCAAACATATATATGCATGCTTACCTTAAAACTTACCTTAGCCCAGCTCTTTTTGGCTTCTTTTTTTTCCCTCTCTTGCATTCGATACTCTTTACTTGTGATACATCATCCATGTCAAAAGTAACATCTGATCGTTCTTGTTCCAGTACCTTTGTTTGGAGAATACACTCATTTTCATTTTCTTCATTATTTGTAATCTGTTGTTCTTCACCAGCACTTTTAAATTTCTTCTCTACATGCTCTTCACATTCATAAGAATCATCATATGATTTTCTAGATGCCTTCCTTGTGTTTTTGTTTGAAGAAAAGCCTCCTTCATTGGTGTACATTGGAGAAGTATCTACAGTTTTTGGATTGTTGTCTGTCGTAGGCAATGCAGAACTATTTTCAGATGTATTATAGCAGGATTCTTCCTCCAAAGCACCCATATTTGTACTGTAATTTTCAGTGTCAGAATATTTGAGGTTTGCAGATCTATTGAAATATTCTTCAAGTTTGTCTGTTTTGGTAATACCACTCAGCAACAAGAACCTCCTCAAATGTATCCAGTATCTTTCTTCTGAATGTTTGTCATAAAGAGCATCTAACTTCTTTTTTTCTTCCCCCTCATTTGTTTTTAGATTAGAGTTAGATTTGTCACTGTTACTGAAATCAGTTTTGCTTTCATTTCCTTCTTGTGTCTGTGCTTCTATTTCCATAGCTGAATCCTCTTGTTCTTGGGGGCAATTATGTAAAAACTCCAGGTCTTCTGTTACCTCTCCAAGGCCCTCTATAATCAAGGGTAAAACATCAGGGTAATTTTCTATATATGAGTCATACCACTCAATATAATCTGGTTTACAGAGTTTTTTATATTTGTGCACCCATGAGAGTGAGATGTACACTTCCTTCCATGCTTCCCAGTGAATCAACCAGTCTTGCCATATCTCTATAGGTACATCTGGAGGATATGTTTCAGTCTGGAATACAATAGTACATCATATATCAGACATACTGAACAATAGCTAGAAATATAATATAAAACAAAAAATTATATTTCTGTAACTCTACAAAGACACTCATTTTATCATGCAATTAAAGAATGCACTCTACCAAGTAAAACTAATAATCCTTTAGAATCAAACTATCAAATACAGTTTATCATATTCTCATAAAAAAATCTTAAGAGCAGAAAATATGCAAATATTTTGTTCCAATAGACAACAGTGAGTCATAAATAAGGAAAAAGAATAATAAAAGGAAGAAAAAACATAAAAGGATGTAAACACAAAATTAAACGCCCAAGAAAGAAGAAAATATTAAAAGAGTAAAGAGTAAAAGAATGAGACAGAAACAGAACATATAAAACAAATTAAAAGAAGAAAAAATAAAACAGAAGTGCTAAAATATTACCATTTTACAAGTGCTCAACCCCCAAAGAGTCACTTTGTAGACCGTATATGACGTCAACTGATTTTTCTTTCCATGAATTTTCAAGATTTTGTCAAATATTACTGGTATTAATACTGTTATCTTTTTTATTGCTGACATAATGTTGTCAGTATGTTAATAGCAATGAAAAATAAAAGAAGCTCTTCCATAAATCGAGGAAAAGAGTAAACAAGTGAAATAAGTAGAACTAGTAACTGACTACTTGGTGACTAAGCACTTGTGGAGCAATGTAGGTGTATACACAATGAATAAACTAAAATCATAATGTTACAATGGTCATGGCATATATGTCAAGCTTCCCACCCACTGGCACCTGGTTGGTGGTAGGGCTTAAAAGACAAAGTCTGAGGCCCAGTGTAGGGAATCACCCCTACCATGGACCTCATCCCTTGCCTCATCCAATTTTACATAGTTTTTACTTCTCCCCCTTTCTTTTTCCTTTCTGTGCTGAAAGGGTGAAGGGCTTGCTTTGTGTCAGACCTGAACTGCCTTTATATTCTGTTTGCTTTTCCCTCTTTACCCTTTTCACTAACATACTAACCTACAGTACCTACAAACCTTTGACATATGACATATTATGTCCTATTCGCTAACTCATTTTGCCATTTTTGCCACAATACTTTATCATAGTGCTGTTTGACCTTTCCTTAAATAGGGGCTTCATCCCTAAGCCTCACCATTTTGCAATATATTGAATAGGCCTCAAATAACCTTAGATGATGATGCAGCCAAAAATTTTAAACAAACATATAAAATGAAATAAATATGTAGGGGTAGGTTATTTTAGCCAACCACCTCAGGTTTATTATTTGAACAATAATAGCATCAATAATTTTGGTAGTGGTTATGATTATGATGCAGATATCAATAATGGTGATGATAATAACAAATATTGGTATGGGTGATAATAATGATAATAAGTCTCATACAGTAGGGATGCACAACCATCTTTCCCTACAATGGATGTTCTACAATGTTGAATACCTTCTAAAGGTTAACAAGTTGCTTTATGATATGCAATTTTAATATTCCTACCTTCACTTCTTCAACAGCTTCACCACAGGGTCTTTCTTCATCTTGTTCAGCATCCTTTTTTGGGCCTTTCTTTGTATATTCACTAGTAAAGTTAAAATGTTAGCATTAATATCATGGTTCACTTTACACCAATATTCAATTATTATAATTTTGGTTAAATTTCTAAAATAAACATCATCTGTAATCTTAAGTATTCAATTTCTTATTGGTTGAATATTGGTACTATAATAACTACATAAAAAAAAACATCATATGCATTTGAAGACTGTGAAGAAAGTCTGGATTTAAAATAACATTTACTACTTTATATAATAAATGTACAAAACATTGCCATTTCTACCACCTTTCTTATAGAGTACATCCTCTTACTTTGCAACTTTGTACTGTGTATCATTTAGAAATACCTAAGGGGGAGGGTAGACTAAAAATGGTGTTATTTAATATCTTAAAACTTCATTAGGCTACTTAAACAAGAGATATATTACTTTTACATACAATAATGGTCAGGTGAGGTCAGTCATAAATTGTGCAGTGATATAGGATAGTTCATGGCTTTCCAGCGCAGAGTAGATAAGCGTGTGAAACATTGCTGCAAAATAGTTATTTTACCAAAAGGAATCAAAGGTTACAACACTGGAAGAATGGTTAATGATAAATGGTTGGAACAAATAAATGTGCTAGATACCAAAGGTCATATAGCACTGTGGTGAAGTATTGTGGCAATAAGGGTAAAGAAGAGGTAAAGATTATTATAAAATGTGTTAGATGTTAAAGATTAGAGAGCGCTATAGGATGTTATGTAATGAAAAGGGAAAAGAGGGGAGCAAATGAAGTAAAGCAGAAATTAGTTAAAAGAGAAGGGTTAAGGGGGGAGGGTGATTGTGCATATTGCAGTGTATCTGTGACTGGGGAAGGAACAGGGACACTGTTCATGGAAAACAGAAATGGCTGTTGGAGAAGTAGGAGAAGAATCCAGGGGTGTTAAATGTCAAAGATTAAAGAGCGTTTTAGGATTGTATGGTAGTGAAAAGGGAAAAGAGGGGAGCAAATAAAGTGAAGAAGAGTTTAGTAAAAGTAAAAGAAAAAAAAGGGAAGGGTTAAGGTTGCTTGAGTGAATTGCAGTGTATCTGTGGCTGGGGAAGGAATAGGGACATTGTTTAAGGAAAACAGAGGTGGCTGTTGGAGGAGAATAATACGGGGGATGAGATAAGGGGACTGGGGAAGGTGGTAAAGTATCAGGAAGAGTGTCAGGAGGGGAGGAGTCTGGAGAAGGACACTGTTGTGACAGAAGGGATCCGTGTGAGCATTCAGGTGGGAGCAGTAGAGAGGAAAGGGTGTGTTGGGAGAGTGTAGAAGGAAGGGGGGAACATGAGGAGGGGGTAGGATGGTTATCAGCGAATACTTTAAAAGTAGAGGGAATGGGATCAGTTGGATTGGAGGGTGGAAGAGAGAGTGGAGTGTTCCCTTGGGTCATCTTTATCAAGTTTTAGATGTCTTCAAGA